TTTGGCGGAAAATTTGCGGCAATTGAAAGCACAAAAATAAAATATACGCTCTTTCGCTTTCATTATACCCTGTACCCAAAGGGTACAAGGGTATATTAGTTTTGTGCGAGTGCACATGGAACACACAGAAGGAGGCTTGGTAGACCCCACAAAGTATATATATTCTTGATCAGCATGACAAGCCGAGTCGATATAGCCATGTCCGTCTGTCCGTCTGTCTGTCCGTCTGTCAGTCTGTCCGTCTGTCCGTCTGTCTGTCTGTCTGTATGAACGCAAGGATCTCCGAAAGTATAAGAGCTAGAATAACCAAACTTGGTATACAGATTCTCCTGAGACCGAGAAAGGACGAGTTTGTTAATTTTTTCTGATCCGCCCCCCCACTCCCCCCCTATTACTGATTTTCTATAACTCCCGTAATTCTTGGAATTTTGAGCTAAAATTTGGTAGTCACATTAGGTTAGTAATTATATATCCGTATACCAAGTTTCATTATGATAAAATGATCGGAAAGAAAGTTATAGCCATATAACCAGGCCCAATGCACACATACATACATATGTACGAGTACACAAACACGCATAAGGCACGATTCTGATGTAAATGTAAATGTATGTATGCATGCATGGAATATTTTATATTTAATTAGTTAATATTTAGTTAATTAATTAAATTAATTTAGTTAATTAATTTAATTTAATTAATTAATTAATTAAATTACTTTTTTGTGGGGTGGTACAGGGTATTTAAGAGTTGAGCCTGCTCGACTTTAGCATTCCTTTCTTGTTTTTTAGTACAATATTTTAGAAATATAATAATTTTTAGTTTATTATTTACTTTTTAATATAGTTTTTTTATTTTATTATTAAAATTATTTTAGTTATTTATTTAGTGTGTATTTTTTTGTATAAAATTTAAATTGTCTTTTTATGTATTTTTGAAAACTAAATTTAACTTTAATTAAGTAATTTGTTCTTCATTTAATTTTAATTCATTTCATCTTTAGTACAATATTTTAAAAATATAATAAATTTAGTTTATTATTTACTTTTTAATATCGTGTTTTACTTTATTAAAATTATTTTAGTTATTTTTGTACTGAGAAATTATCTTTTTTTTTATGAATTTAAATTATCTTTTAAAAATTTTTCAAAACTAAATTTAACATTAGTTAAGTAATTTATTCTTCATTTTATTTTAATTTACCATTAATTTTCTTTTTTTTTTGATTTACTGTCTATATTTATATTTTTTAGAAATATGTACGCTAATTTTATATGTTTTATGGCATTCGTAAAATAATTCGTAGTTAATTTTAATACTTAAACAAATTGTGTTCAAGAATTAATTCCTTATCTAAATTAACCCTTTAAATTGACCTTAAAGTAACTGTGTACGGTTTGACAAGCACTGAAGCGTTGGCAAGTACTTGAAAATGGAAAAAATCCCATCACACTGATGTTACGCACATTTACACCTGCAGACATACTATACACCCTCTCACACACCCTCACACACACCCTCACACACACCCTCACACACACAGACACACACAACCGTTAAACTACCGCAGTGCATGGCAAACTCTATGGGGCCATAATGTTTTTGCTGATAAGCGCGTCGACGTCATTGCTGCCAACGCCATGCCAGGACGCATTAGCGCCAACAATCTACACAAAACCTCACACTCTGGCACACACACACGTCTCACTCCTTTTCACCGGATGGCTGGCTGGCTGTCTACGGCAAAAATCTGTTCAAAACCAGAGACCAAGCCTACATATCTCTAAAGCAGACACAGACACACACACACACGCTCCTAACTGACTGACACTGACTAGGGAAGTAGGTAGCCGGCTAAACTGACAGCTATAGAGACATTAATGTGACGAGGGTTTAAGGGGTTTGGGTTGCACGCGCCCGCTTGTAAAGACATGGCGAAAAAAAAAATAAGTAGCAGCAAAATTACATCAGCAGCTCAAAAAGAAGAGATAGGGAAGACAAAAAAAAAAAAAAGAGAGAAGGCGCTGAAATCTGTGCACCCTAGAGGAATGCGAGCATTCTCTGAAGCACTTCTTCACGTTCACGTATCTTTGGGGGCTACTTTAAGGCAAGCCATATGTGACGCATTTGATTTATAGTCGTCGTCAAGATCCAGCAGCTTATACTATTTATTAAACAAATAGCGTCTACTACTGCCAAGCAAACATTATCATTGCTACCCCCTTTGTTATTTTTGCTAATTGCAGCTGTTTGCCGTAAACAGACAGATAATGTACCGCCGCATTGTTTGGAAAACCTTATGCATATGAAAAGAAAATCAAGATTAGAATGTTTACTGAAGATAATTATAAAAATCTGTACAGATAGCAGAAATTACAAATGTAAAGCCAACGTTAAAGCAATTGATTAACATACTAAAATAAGCTCATATTCGACTATCTATAGAAATTATAAAAATAAAAGCTATTAATTAAAAGCAAAGATTCATCCTTCACACCAAAGGCAATAAGTTGCACCACACAATTTTTGAATATGTTTATTAAAAGTTTACCAATATCTATAGAAATTATAAAAATAAAAGCTATTAATTAAAAGCAAAGATTCATCCCTCACACCAAAGGCAATAAGTTGCACCACACAATTTTTGAATATGTTTATTAAAAGTTTACCAATATCTATAGAAATTATTAAAATAAAAGCAATTAATTAAAAACAAAGATTCTTCCTTCAAACCAAAGGTAATAAGTTGCACCACAGAATTTTTGAATATGTTTATTAAAAGTTTACCAATATCTATAGAAATTATTAAAATAAAAGCTATTAATTAAAAGCAAAGATTCTTCCTTCAAACCAAAGGCAATAAGTTGCACCACAGAATTTTTGAATATGTTTATTAAAAGTTTACCAACATCTATAGAAATTATGAAAATAAAAGTTGTTAATTAAAAGCAAAGATTCTTCCTTCAACCAACCAAAGGCAATAAGTAGCACCACAGAATTTTTGAATATGTTTATTAAAAGTTTACCAATTGATTTACAAACTTAATTTTTAAATCTTTATGCTTACGAACAGCCTTTTTCGCAAGCTCTATCTTTATTCAGATCGTTATATGCAACAAAAGCCGAGTTCAATGAGCATATGGAATTCGTTGAAAACAAATATTGAATTAATTAAATTAAATATTTAACACAATAATTTGTTAATTGCATGTATTACACTGCAAGTGACATTTCTACGAAATTTCAAATGATTATCTTCCCTAAAAGCCGAGTTCAATGAGAACAGTTGGCAGTTATGCAAAGACTTTAAATTCACGCTTTCGAAGCAAATGTCATGAATGTTATAAGTTCTAGAACAAATAATGAAGGAAATGAAAGGAAAGTATGGACAATTTGCATTTTTCTGATAAAGGCTTCTTAGCATAATGTTATTGGCGTAATTTTAATCGAATGCCAAATTATTATTTCTTTGTTACACCTCACTAAGTTGAACAGCATTCATAAAATTATTATTGGCATAAATAGTATAACATCATTTTAAAATTTTTGTTTTGCTGCAAGTTCTATTCTCTATATAGTCTATCAAAGAACAGTTTTTCTTTTCAATTCTAAATAAATAAACACATACCAGCTCTTGTGTATAGAGAGTATATAAATTTGCATTTCTTAAAAGCTTTTGTATTCCTGTCTATTAAATAAATATATATATTATTATATTACACACCATTTAAATGTTGCAATTACTTTATGAGGCATACTTGTACGAAGCTAATTAGTTTGATAAAAGTGTTTGCTCGGCAATTAGTTCTGGCATTGTCCCATGTAAGTACTTGGCAAGATAAAGCCGGTATATACTATAGAGGTCATAATGTGCAGTAAAAGCAGAAACACTAACGTCTGCTGCCGAACCCAAGATATGACTTTCAGTCGAAGGCAGTTTATTGATGGCTGCGCCTCTCAGTCTTCAGACGCGGCGGCACGGCATTATCATTTTGGCCGACACTCTCTTCATTTCACGCTTTTACACGACAATACAATAAAATTAACGTTTGCTGTTTCTTATATTTTTTCCTATTTCTTGTTGTTGCCGACATTTCACCACATATATGTATATTTATGCCATATAGTGTGTTTAAACATATGTGAGTGTGTGCTTGCCTTTCAACCGCACGACAATTTTATATTTTTGAAAGCGTTTGAGCTAAATTATTGACTTGGGTTTGACAAAGGTAAACAACAATAACAAAAACGACAACGGCAATTGTCAATTGTCATTGATAAAAGTTGAACATTGAGTCAATAATTGATTTGTAGCTGGCCGGAAGATGCGTTCGATTGGTAAATACTCGCCCGTACTGCCTTAGTGAACTGACAATGGCAATCAATCGACATTTAGTGCAGCATTTTTTTTTTTGTAATTGAAAGCTTTGTTGAAGCATTGATGTTTAAGGACTTCCCCATGCCGAACCCATATCGAGGTACACACATGCCTTATCATTTCCACATATATAGAGTAGAAAATAGGTGAAGTAGAACAAATCTGATAAGTTCAGTGAGGAAGCAAGAAACTAACTGTATTTAAGAAGATGATTTCTATAACTATTTCCTCCCTTTGCTATTTCATTTATTTATTTAAGGTAACTAAAAACTATACCTGTGGTCAAAATATATTGCTACTCGACTCATTCTATAGTTTAATATTAAGTTTAGTCCAAAACATCCAATATTAAGTTAAACATTTTAAGAGTTAGACACATAATTTAGAATACGGATAAAGTGTGTTTATTAAAACTTAAGTTTGAAAAAATAAAATCAAACAAATATCAATTATATAGACGTGTTTAGTCTAGGCAGAATGATCAGATTAACGGAGTGATCGCCTTTATTTTATTTCCTGAAATGTTATTTAGAATATACTCTACTGCTCTACACCTTGTACTTTAGATCTCAGTTTGTCATGCTAACCATTTCTTTATAGTTCCTATATATTGACATTTGAGAAATTTATTCGCCAATTTTTCGCTTTCTGACCAAATTGAAATGATAACAGTCGACGCCTGTTGTTGTGGTTGCACCCTCAAACAGGGTTGTCTCTTTTATGGCTATTGGGTTATTATCGTTGAGATAATAACGTGGATATTGTGGATGATTTTCTTGGGTGAGTTATACATGGAGCCAGCTTCTTATGGAATTATTTGAGCGTTATTCAACAGACTTTATTGTCATATTCTATGCGTTGTTTTACGGACTCGTTTATATACTTGGCGGTATATTCTTGCTGTGTGCTATCTATAAGGTATCTATAGATGTACATATAATCAAATAATATAATTGATGTTTTTCTGTTGTTTAGCACAAAAGGAATTTAATGATAGTATCCATGTTAATAACTGCGTTGTATTGCGTAACACTGGTGGCGACTCTTTTGGGCATACCTTGGAGTTGTGAGTGATCTGTGATTTATATATGAATATTTAAACATATTTTAATCAAGCATTTCTGTTCCATTACAGCATTCCACTTTTATTTTCTTCTCGTACAGTATTCCTACTATCTGAAATTCTTTGCATCGCCACCAGAGCAGCCAGCAAAGCCGGCACCAAAGCCAAGGATTGAAGAGATCAGACAAATTTTTTAAAACGCTGGAGAAAAGTCAATAATAATACTGCCTGGAAACAACCACATGACAATCTATTTAATGTCCAGATCCAGCAATGTAACCCAATAAGCAAGCCCAGAGACTTATATAATGAGCTTTTAAATTATTTGTGGATAGATTTGCTTCAATAAAGTAGTATTCTTTCTCAGTAAACATTCATTCAAATATCCGAAATTTGAAGATTGGAATATATATGCGTTTGCTCGTAATTTATTGATACTACAAGCAGGCACATTTTAAATGTATGGGACCGGCAGAATTTCTTCCGAAATGCATGAATTTTAAAAGGATAGTTTTTAAGAACCCATGCAATGATTATTGATTATTGAAGCAAAAAGCCTAAAGTTCAGCAAAGAAGTGATTATTTTAGAACATCATACAAATATGAAGCTCAGGAAATGTTTTAATTTGTTTCTTTTTTGTTGACTGATTTCAAATGTTTGGGTCCGTCTTTAATAACATGTCTTTGAACTATAGAGGGATTTCTGCTTCTGAAGAAAATGGTATTTAAAATTGATAAATGTTATTAGCCGAACAACATTTCGTGCAACACACAAGAAGTTTTCCTACGAAATCAGCAGCAGCTCTATCATAAATAATTCAATTTTACATTATACTTTTGGGCTATGCACCCTTAGCAAAAGGAGAACAACCCACAAAGTTCACACAGTTGCGCTTCACTACACAAATATATTAAATTTCGATTTCTCATGCAAGCAGCCGTGGGACAGACAGACAGACACGACAGACCCACACATTGACTGACTGACTGACGAAGAGAAGGATAGACCGGGAGACAAGAGCAACCGAACCCGAGACCGTGAGCACGTGCGCTAACCTTTGACATATGAGCAGCGGCGCTGGCAATGTTGAGGGCGGTAGAAATGCTGAAACCATCAAACATATTTTATGTATCAAGGATACGCGAGACCCAAACGAACCCACACACGCAGTAAAATCGCCGCCCAAATAAAGTACAGAGAAGGAGTGAGACGAGGGGAAAAAAATATAAAAATATAAAAAACACGTTTCCGAAATAAGTCCACGAGGGGGCAAAAAAAAAAAAAAGAACCCAAACCAAACAGGCAACAAGAAATCACGTTAGAGAACTCGTCGTGGTTCTCATCGTCTCATCCTGTAACGTGTCAGGCTGAAACCACAAAACGAGGCGCAGACAACGGGACAGACACCAACACTGACAAACATAAAAAAACACCCACACACCCAGTCACACAGGCACACAGGCACACAACTCTAGGAGCATATCCACGCTTGTTGTAGTCGTAGCCTGGCGCTGTGGCCAAACAAGAAGACACGCCCTCTCTGGGGAAATCAAAACAGATCAAAATGTCATCTTTAAGAGCTTAAATTTGTATAAAATTGCCAATCGTAAACCTAAAAAGCGCGACACACTCGCACAACAAAGGTGCCTTCTTAGTCTTACAGTGTCTGCCATTTTGCTTGGGAATGTCGCATCTTGCATGTCACATGTCGGTCGCTTGGGTTATGATATCAAAATATAAACACTTGGTTTAGTTTTATAGTGGGTTATAGCTCAGCTGAATGGAGGGTAAAGAGCAAAAGCAGGAGCCGCGCCAGCACTAGCACCAGCAGATAGATGACAAGTCAGTCATAAACATTTGAATGACAATTTCAAGTTGAAGATTTTTCTTTTGCGAAAGTGTCGAGAGTTCTTCGTTTTATATATCCACAATATTTGTCTGTGCATGTGTGTGTCTGGCTTAGGATTTTAGGTTAAAGAACTTTGACTTGGGTTAGGTTAGTTTAGTTGTGCTGTTTAGGAGTGAAAGGTTAGCACGATTTCAAAGCCCAGATATTTAGCATAAAAAACTTTTGTTGTTCTTTATTTATGCTTGTTTAATATATCTACTATAATAAACGCTATTTATGCCAGTTAAATGTATCTGCTTATAATACTATAAGAAACAATTCGTTTTTTGAAAACCTATGCTAATATTACTAACTTATGAAGTTGTTGAAAAAAATAAACTCTAATGAACACATAATGATCTATAGAAATAACAGTTATATTTACAAGTTATATTTATTTATTTATTTCTCCCAGCTTTGAATTTACTTTTAGGTTTTATTTTGTGTTTTTCGATGGAAGCCTCTAAGAAGTTTGGTCAGCATGTTAGAGGTGGTGAATTATCGATAGCCCGCACCATGAATAGTCAACGATAGATTTCAGAAAACCATCGATAGTCAATGATAGTTTAAAAAAAAACAATCGATAGTTTTCGATAGTAAGCTGATTTAAGCAAATATGTTTAAAAATATTTACAAATATAGGTTTAAATAAAATCGAAAACTAAAATTCAACAAGAAATGTTATATTTCGTTGTTGTTTATGAAGAAAATATGGATTCTTACACAGAATTATAAACATATTTTGATATAAGCCATGGGTTCTTATTTTAAAAGAGCAACAAATTAATATATTCCATTGCTTCAACGAACAAGCGTTCGGTTTTAATTTGATGGACTGACAGGACTATCCGCGCCTGGGTGAAAGCTTTTTAAATAGTCTTATAAATTTGAGATGATTCCGTTCGTCTTTTTCGCAGCTTGGTAAGATTTTTATCATCCGACACCTTAAAGTTTTTTTAAGTTTCGGTACATTTTTGTACTGTTCTCTTTTTAATTTATGGTACTCACATTCAGAAAAATTAAACATTAATGCTTTAACATTAAAAAAAATCTTAATTTAAAGTTAATAGATCAATTTAAACAATCAATTCATTTTTACACATACATATACTTGTATATTATAACAAATATTAATAAATTATTTTACAAAGTTGATATAGCTTCCAAGACAAACTATCTAACTATCGATAGTGCACGGCTGTTCGATAGTGCCGATACTGCCATCGATAGTTCTCCAGCTCTACAACGTGTAATTCAAAATCTAGCCTCCCTTAGAATGAGATGCTAGTTACGCCCATGACTATAAATCGAATATTTCTATTTATGTTTTAGTTTCTGGTTGTCCAAATGAAATACAAAACTTGTCAAACAGTTTCATGTTTATTAAAGAGATATTCCCCGCACTACAAAAAATACAAAGCTAATTTCATATTTTTCCATGTTCTTTTCGATTAAATCAACTGCTCTTTGATTCACTTCTTCAACCACAAATCTCTCAAGCGGCTAATATATTTTGACACCTTTTGATCAATAGCCTGCCTCAAACTAAACCGTCCACTCCATTTCAAGTAAGGTAAGGAGTGCAAGAAACTCGTATTGAAAAATTAAAAAAGCGAAACTAAGCTCAACTGAGACTGAATTGAATGCATTTGAGCGTCGATGCAAAACCTTTTAGGGGGCTATAAAAAGCAGTTCAACGGTTCATTCAATTTGACTGTCACAGACCGACAAAAGGGGAGGAAGAGAAGGAGCAAGAGCAGGAGGAGAAGAAACAAAAAAAAAAAAAACACAAAACTCAATACTTGGTTGACGCTCAATAAAAGAGGAGACAACTTCATTTTCAAAATAGCTCACGCCCACCAGGCCATATATGAAAGTATATATGTATGTATGTTTGTATGTGTGTGTGTGTATAGATGGATAGATGTGAGATGAAAAAGAGAAATTCAAAACCAGACAACGAAAAACGACGACGACTCAACAAACACAAAGTAAATAGATGTGAATGACGACTGACCAAACGGACGAACCAACGACTTTATCTGAATTGAATGAGTGAAATTCTATATCCCCAATAATACATGTATACACATACACACATAACTACATACTCGTCTATATGTATGTATTTGGAAAAATCCATTTAGCATATGAGAATAAACATGCTGCTTGGAAAGCAGCCCTGTTTCTGCAGCGTGTTCTTCTTCTTCAAATTTTTTCTTTTCTGCTGCTGATGCTATTATAATTGTTTGTATTGTTGTTGTTGTTGATTTAAAAGCGTTGATAATAAAAATTGCAAACTGAAACACTCCCGCCGCTGCTATTCAGAGTTCACATAGATAGGATAAAAGGCTAAATGCAAATGCTTTGATTTGCACGGAAAAGCCAGGCCAGAGAAGGCCAGAGAAGGCCAGAGACTCGACAATGATAACGAGCTGTTGAACTAATCAAGCGAAGGTCTCTTCTCATCTGGCTGTCGGTCTGTCGGCCTGTCGCATGAGGGTGACAAAACCTAATAAAATTTAATTAAACTCAATCAAAATCCATTTAAGGAACACACGCACGCACACAGACAGGCAGACAGACGGACAGACGGACGGACAGACTCAGACGTCGTTCATATTCATATGCATATAAATATTGCCGTTGAATTGTAGAGTACCAGGGGGCGGGGGCTACTTGTGGGTGCCACTTAGATTGTCTGCCGGTTGGTCGGTTGGTCGTTCAGTTCCATTCAGTCATATAACGAGTGCTCTGCTCACTAATTGAATTTCAACCGAGTTGTCGTTGTTGTTGTTGTCGTTGTTGTTGTTGTCGTTGTTGTTGTTGTCGTTGTTGTTGTTGTCGTTGTTGTTGTTGTCGTTGTTGTTGTTGTCGTTGTTCTTGCCATGGACAGGAAATGATGTCATTTGCTTCAACGAACATTTTCACAATTTTCTCGAGTTCTTAAGCCCAAAAAACTATTTGCAAATATAAATAATTTCTATTTATTTATTTAGAAGACTTGTAATTTACAAATTTCTCAACGAACATTTTCACAAAAAAACACCTTGTTGTTGAATGTATGGCATAAAAAAATATATAAAAAAAAAGTTTTTAAAATAAAAAAAAAACAAAAATTATAAAATTTAAATAAAAATAAAAAAATAAAAACATAAATTTTTAAAAAAAAAATTTTAAATATAAAAAAAATAGTTCCACTGCTTGGCAATTAATATTTATATTTTACTGATTCCCTATATTTATACTTCTCGGAAATAAACCGAGATAAATCAAGATTAGTGCCAAATCAAGAAAGAACTACGCTAGAAGGTAAACTGGGGAACAACTTTTTTCTCTCTTTCTGTTTCCCTTACATTTTCAGAATCATCAGTAACTGCCGTAGATCTCTTAACGGAATAGCTCAACAGGTCATATGGGTATCAGGACAAAGAAATATTGGTCCGATCAGTGTCCGGAAGGCAGACTAAGAAGCATCCCTT